AGAGAGAGAGAGAGAGAGAGAGAGAGAGAGAGAGAGAGAGAGAGAGAGAGAGAGAGAGAGAGAGAGAGAGAGAGAGAGAGAGCCATTGTGGTTATAGAGCTGCTGGGTATGAGAGTAATTTCCACCACTAGGTACTTGAGTATACCTATACTTTGGCCGGTCAACTCTGGTCCTCGGTATGTCCATAATTTGCCCTGGGTATGTATATCCATAAGTGGTATAGACGGGTAGCGGGGTGTAACTGCAATTTGCAGGTACCAACTGCGGACCTGTCATGGGAGCAATTTCCGTAGAGCATTTCCAGGGCATACATTTCAAGACTGGCTTTGGAAGAGGGTATACATGCAATTCCCATCTTTAAAACACCAGTTCACCGGGAGCCTATTTGTAGCCTCCGAGGCTCCAGAGCCTCCATGAGGGCCTTTTCTTAGTGGCCTCTGCAGGTCCCTACAGGCCCAGGCCTGAAGCGACCTGTGGCCTCCGCAGGTCGCTACAGGCCCAGGCCTGAAGCAGTAAGCCCTGACCGTATACACAGGTGAGAGGCCGTCTTAGGGCCAGATCCCACTGGCAAAGAGGATTGGAATAAGTGTCTGAATCTGGACGTGTTGCACACAGAGATGCAGAAAAGCAGATCAATCACAATCTTTTGCACCTCTCCAGAAACACGTCCAGATTCAGACACTTATTCCAATCTTCTTTGCCAGTGGGATCTGGCCCTTAGCTCTTAGCTCTTAGCCAGTTTTTTAACCCTCGGTTTGGGCGAACAGGTGGTTCGAACGGGGTATAGATAGAATGTATAGAATCTACAGATGCAATTTTTTTTTTTATAATAAATATCCTACTCCACCGGCAAGTCTGCAAGGATTACAATGAGTGCTCACCCACGCTCCTTCCCCTTATGGTGTGGAGGTCTGAAGGCATCGCATTGATTACTTCCTGAAGGAAGGATGTACCACCCCTCACCCCTGCCTAAGTTAGCCTGATGGACTACTTTAGGCCTAATCTACAGATGCAATTTTTCCGAAAGACAAGAACAAAAATGAACTCCGTTTTCTGATGATGAATTCCTTGTTTCTGGTTTGGTGCGTGTCCAGATGGCTTGAAATTGGCTGAGTGGCTGGGCGCTTGCGTGTTCTTTGGGGTGGTTCTGTTTGTTCCTGCCAAACCAACTGAATCGGGTTGTGATTGCTGACAGATGCTTTGGGTAATGGTCTCCCATTGGCCATCGACTCCAACTTGAATAACCATGCTTGTTGGTGTGAAAGCAGTTCAAAGCACACTTTCTGCAAATGGAGCGGACCAGGAATCCTACGTGTCAGTGGTCTATCCTAACTCTGCGCAAACATGACGTCAACATGAATCGACCATGGCTAGGTGCGTTGCACCCCCTTAACCGCCCCTACTCCCCCCCCCCCCCCCCCCCCCCCCCCCTCGCCCCCTCACCGGCTGCTGCCGGCCTAAACCTCCTGGGTACCCCTTTCCGTTTTTGTGACCTTTCTGCAAGCCTAATCCTCCAGTACCCCCTTGCCTATTTTGTAGGGGTCGTCGCTTTAAAATGGGGGTGGGTTGGAGAGAGAAAGGGCCTCGTTCTACCACTGGCCCAAAATATGAAAGATAATGGCGCGCATGTATGTCGAAATACACTTGCAATTTGCCCACATTTGGTGGTGAGTGTGGAGGAAGGAGGCCCAATACTTCCACATGCATGTGGACCGTCCGGTTCGGATCACATCCTGATCTGTACCTGCCCTTTTCACCGACCAGATGCATGTGGACTTCTGCGTCCTCTTGTTCCAGATCATTTCCTGATCTGTACCTGCCCTTTGCACCGACCTGACTAAATGGAGGGAGTGGCGGTTTGAAAGCCCAGCACGACCCTTGTATCGCCCACCCCCTTGTGCGTGACGATCCGATGAACACAGGTTCGGTGTCTAATTGCGGTGGGGACCACCACAGGTTGGCAACTCCACTGCTATTGCGGTGGAGACCACCACAGGTTCAAACTTCAACAAACTCCAATTGCGGTGGGAACTGCAGTTTTGTGGCCCAGACGGTTTTCGCCATCCTCTTCCTTGTGGATCATCACATGCTGTCCATGTGGGGACCACCACATGCTGCTACTGCTGTTGTGTAGGTCCTTGCTAGCTACCGTCTTCACCTGAATAGAACACCGCCAGGTCATTATCGCTGCATGTGGACTGAAAGTTGCCCCAATAAAATACAGCTATAATGATCGGGCGTTCTATTCGGGTGAAAAAAGACGGTAGGGTTGCAAACCCCAGGAGGTGCAATCTGCGTTGGTGGTTATGGGTTCTGGTGACCTGGGCGATGACTGGCCAGGAGTAGTGGTTGGGGGCGAGGGGAGAAGGAAGGGGGGGAGAAAAGAGGGTAGGTCATGAATTGGCAAGGCGGGAACTGCTGTAGGGGGTACAAGAGAAAAGTAAGGAGGCTATTGTAGCGGGAAATAGGAAGTGTTAGTAGCGGTGGAGTTGGACATGTCGAGGAGAGAGCTTGATGATGTATAACATGGATGACAGGGGAGCGGAAGTCTGCGGTGTACAGGACAAAAGAACACACGTGGTTAACCGGGGGTGTTTTCTTCGGCGAATTTTGCACTGAAACTGTCACATTGCCCTGAATTTTTGCTTTCTTTTTTTCTTTTTCTTTTTGTGTGATATGTAGCTACTTTAGGGTACGTCATGTGTCCAGTTTTGACATGCTTGGATCAATAATGAAAAAGTTGGCATTTTGTTGGATTCGTTGAACGCTTCATTTTTACCCTGAAAGTGTTTTTGTGTTAGGGTTTTATAGTATTTTTGTGTTTTTTTGTTTCGTTTTATTTGGCCTGTTCGCTTTTTTTTTTTTTTTTATGTTTGCACTACGGGCCCATGCGGTTTGTTTTTTAATTTTCCACTGAATTTTGCACCGAAACTGCCGGCGAATTACGGTGAATTTTCGGCCCTCCGTTAACCGCTTGTACGTACTGATATAGAAATCTTGATATCTTTTCCTCTTCATCTTTTTCCCCACTTCTTCTTCCTCTTCTCCCTCCTCGCTGGATCTGTGCGTGATTGAGCAGGGAGGCCTTCATCTACGCATGCTTCCTCCGCGTACTGATGTGCGAATTGATTCTTTGCCCACATGTCCTTCTGGGTGTGTCGTGCATGTATTCACTTGATCTGTGCATCTGCGCGAGTCTTTTGCTGTGCAGTTCTTCACACCTTTCTCCATAGGTTGAATATTGGCTGTCCAGCATGTTCAATCTCTGCTGCCGGCATGCAACACCTGTCTGCCGTAATGCCATGCTTGCACATGTTCGCAGCCTGTCAGGGCTGTGTTTTATGCCCCTGAGTTCTTCAATGTCAATTCAACGTTCAACGTCGGTCATTCGGGAGGGTGGGCATTTTTGTTTGAGGGCTTAGCAAGGGGGTGGGGCACGACGGTCGTGAGATGAGAAAAAATGAAGAGGTGCGGGCACCAGGGCCTGGAGGTTGGAAAAGCCGAAACGGCGCGGCCCAGGCCTGCACCTTTCAGGGCCCGCCAGGCCACTCCCGCCCAGCGGGCGCCCCCTTCCACTGGAGGTTTCTTCTGAATTTGGACTTCTGACTGCGCCAGATTCAGAGATTAAGCAGCTCTCTCTCTCTCTCTCACGCACACACACACACACACACACACACTCAATTTCAAGTGGCCTACACCTCTCTCTCTCTCTCTCTCGCGCGCGCGCGTTTGCGGGCATGCGCACACACTCTCACAGACACACTCACTCTAACATACGCACACACGCGCCCACACACACACACACACACACACACACACACACACACACACACACACACTCTCTCTCTCTCTCTCTCTCTCTCTCTCTCTCTCTCTTGGAGTTGTGTATAGCGAACATGACAAACAACATCAACAGACAAACTACTAGCTGCGCACCCTTGCCCTCACAGTAAGTCAATGAAGGAAGGGGGCCGGCAAAGAACAACATACCAGTCTACACTAAACAGCCAGTCTGCACTAAACTGCCAAGAACAATCAAAATCACTGTACAACACCATTCTTAAAACCATTTCCTTCAAGGCAATTCCACTCAACTCAACATCCCAAAACAACGGCCCTGCTGACTTGTCATGCTGACAATATCTCCTCCAGCCGCACCAAATCACTAGATGCTATTGCTGCCCATGAGGGTTGGTTATGTGAGTCACTTTTGGGAAGTCCATTGTTGCTTCATCTGTCTTCTGACTTCCTCATCAGTGTAGTTGCACATGCCAACCGAATGGACATAATCCCAAACCACTGACCCTGGTCATCGGCACAAAGACAGCAGACGTGGACATACATCTGTCTTATATCGTGAACTTTAACGACATTGCATATGCCAACCGAATGGAGATAAACCCAAACTGCTGTGCTTCCTCCTCATATCCAGAAAGACAGCACACATGGACGGAAGGTGTGCACAGTGTGTGTGTGTGTGTGTGTGTGTGTGTGTGTGTGTGTGTGTGTGTGTGTGTGTGTGTGTGTGTGTGTGTGCGTGTTATGTGTTGATTGGAGCTTGATTGTGAATGGAATTGCTTTCGTCGATATTTGATTCCATGTGCAGATCTATATGGGATGCGTGTACCGCCGACATCAGATTTTGCTTCTTTGACGCAGCGGCAAGACAAGTCACTTATCCACAAAATGCTTCCAGATGAGGTCCTCTATGAGGTGAATCATCGTTCTCCTCCAGGCCTGGTCTCGTGTGTCAAACAAGCATTTTGTTTTGAACGTGTCATCGTCCTTTCCCTCTTGTTTTCATTCTCTGTTTATGATGATTTTTTACGTTCATGTCTGCTCAGTTTTTCATTGCTATTGCCAATTCGAATTTGGTCTCTGATAGTACTTGATTTGACTCTGTTACGAGTTCTTTTCTTCGGTACCGTGCCTTGATTTGTACATTTCATCCTTGCACAGCGGCCACACTGTTTTTCTTCTTTGTCAAACCACCAGTACCTCCTCCAGGCAATCTTGAGAATAAAAAATGCGACATTCTGGGTTCGTCGAATGGAGACACAAAATTCCCTCTGAAGTTCAGAACCACTCTCTCAGGTACCGCAGACAAAGCACAGAAGCCGCAGCTGCAGACATAATACTATGTTGTTCACACTCGAGTGTTTAGGTGTGTATGGCCTATGCCTCACTTCCTGTCCGCCGTCCCTTTCCGAAGGGGGAGGAGGGGTGTTGAATCAGCCTGAGCGCAGGGGGAAGGGATAGGGGGGCTCTCTGGGCCTTGGCCTAGCTGCCATGGGTGGTGCGAGTGAACCAAAAGAGGAGTGGATGCCATTTGGAAAAGGCTGTGACCCATACGTCACCCACGTGCTGGGTGGCAGTGGACTGCCCCTCCCCAATGACTGCCTCGAAAGTGATCGGTGAAGTCTTCATCAGTACATTCAATCTTTTTCACCAAGTGTCTCTGGGTTCCTAGACTGATGGTGTTTGTGCTTTGTCTTTCTTGTTTACGTTTTCAGTTGGCAACTTAATGTTTATATTCACCGGAAAAATGTCGGATTACTCTCCGTGTTCTACATTGTGTCTTAGCTGGAGAAAACAGTTTCCGTGAGGACGTTGTGGATGCTGATATGTTTTGATTGTTCTCTTTTTATGGTGGGCATGCTGTGGTGGCTTTATGCTGCACTTCACAGGTTTTTGCTTGCGCAAGTCCGTATACTCTAGGCCGATGCGCATGTGTTTGTCGGAAGTGGAGATATCTGACACGCAATCCCAACTTGTGGCGCAATCATTGCGTGAAGACATGGCGGGCAAGTGATCCGTTCTCTGAACCTGAGTCAAACTTGCTTGTCTAGTTTTCCTTCTTACCTCAATGTTTATAACATGGCACACGTGTGAATGTGTGTGTGTTGTCGATTGTCGTGTGTGTGTGTGTGCTGTCTCTTATACACATCTAGATGTGTATAAGAGACAGATGCACGCTTAGTCCCATTGCTTTTGCTACCTTAGGGCTGCGTTCCCCGCGCCCACACGGTAGACAATAATGAACATCATATGAAGGATGACGATGACGGTGGATTGCGTAGCTATGCAATGGTTAGTCTCTATTGCCCTCGCTTGCGCAAATACGATTTCACTCAAATTCAAGGTTTTTGAGTAAGAGCATTGCATGGTTGGATTAGGTGTTCTAGTCGACCAGTGGAGGGTTGCGGTAGGGAGATCAGCGCCCCAACTGTAGATTCGCGCACGGGTTCAATTTTGGGTGTTTGCAGCCCTTAGGCTGCGGTATAGTGGGCTTCCGCGTCTGTGTCAAGGTGTCGCATTTTTGGCGGTGGGCGACCAGGACGCACAGTGGGTTCTTAGGGGGCAAAAAAAATTGGGGGACCGGTCCTTGCCTAAATTGTGGACTACCTACAACTAGCTTTGGTACAACCGGGACTTTTGGAAAAATGAAGGACCGGTCCTCGGCTGGAAGAGGACCCGAAAAAGAAGTGGGGGGCATTGGACCGGTCCTCGGGTAGAAGCGGACCCCAAAAAGAAGTGAGGGCATGTGAACTGCAAAGAGCCATCAGGCCCAGGCGTTGAGCCCCGTCTTCTCAAAAAATCATTTAGACTGCGAAATAATCGTCGTGCCGATTCAACACATTTTCCATTTTTGCCACTCAGCCATGCCTGGGCCAACTAAAAAAGTAATAAATTCAGTGAGTTTTCGTGCTCAGAAGAATGCGTGAAAAAACCTGAAAATTGGAGTACTCGTAGATTTTGTTATGATCTTTCCAGGAAAAACGCTACATAAATTAAAAAAAATCATTCCAACTGCGAAATAGATTGCGGCCGCAATTTGACCCATATTTCAATTTCGCCATTCAGCCTCTCTCTCTCTCTCTCTTTCTCTCTCTCTCTCTCTCTGGTAGGCCCCCCCCCTCCCTCTCTCTCTATTTCTTTCTCTCTCTCACACTCATAACAATAAATGGAACAATTTTTTTTTTTTTTTTTTATTTTTCTCTCTCTTTCTCTCGCACGCGCGCGCGCGCGCGTGTGCTCGCTCGCTCGCTCTCGTGCGCGCTCTTAGTCTCATTGTTTTNGAGAGAGAGAGAGAGAGAGAGAGAGAGAGAGAGAGAGAGAGAGAGAGAGAGAGAGAGAGAGAGAGAGAGAGAGTTTGCGAGAGGAAAGCAACCTGTGCTACGTACCCCTCGGTGCTTTGTTTGGTAAACTACTTCCTTTAAGGAATCCTGATACCGCATCAAGGAATTCACTGGCTTTGACTCATACATGTCTTAATGAGGAAGCTGGTAATGCATCAGTGCAACAAATTGATCCCATTTTTTAATGTAATTGTTCCTTGACTTGCTCTGTTTCGATGCCTTCTTCTGCCCTTCGGTGCAAGGATGAGGATGCCGCTAGCAATGCCATTGGTTTTTCTCGCTGACACCAACATTGTATAATTCTATGTGCGCCATTTTGCAGCACGAGGTCTTTTTTTTCTGTTTTGTGCCTGTTCCCAATGCTTGCAGAATGAGGAGGCTATACAAGGGTTATTGGTCCCGAGTACCCCCCAAATACTTTTTCATTTCCACAAATACACTGACCACACAGTGCTCTCATGGGGTTCTTTTCTCTTGCATTCCTCTCCCCCCCCCCGCCCCTCCACCCTCCCCCCCCAAAGATGTTACTGGTTTGGAGGGGTGTTAGGAGTTCATGTTGAATGCAAGTCCGGCCTGCGAGTTGTGCAGCATTCACTGCATGGATCAGTTGTTTCGGGATTTAATAAAATGTCCCCTGGTTGTGTGGCCATGAAAGGCGTGGGTGCTGCAGATTCTTATCAATCAATCTATGGTGAAGGTCCCAGTGGTTTCATGGCCCACAGCAAGGTGTGTTTCCTTGTCATGAAACTGCTAGTGGTGCCTGCGTTGCAGACACGTGGCACTTATCCATCAGCCTGTTATGAAGGGCCCAGCTCAGATCTGGCACCATGGCACCTGAAGAGTTGAGCTCAGTGGCTCATGACGTTGAGGACCATTACGACCACCACCCGCACTGTAGTGACCGTCAACGTGTTGGGCTCGTACCTGTGACCTACACCGACTCAGGTTCATAGAGATAACTTTCTGCGTACAAGAGCTCTGAGGCGTATGCCTTGACCTCTTCTCGCAGTGAAATGATATTTCCTCCTCACTTAGGATTGGTGATTGCTGTTTCACTTGTCTATGCAGTTGTCGTGTTTCCCCTGTAGGCCTGCAGCGTTGTGCTGAGTATGCCTCGCGGTGGTGCTCGGCAAGAGATACGCACATGGACAATTGGTGTTCACTCTCTCGCTTTCTCTCTCCGTCTCTGTCTGTCTGTCTTTCTCTCTTGCTCTCCCTCTCTCTAAGAGGGGTCATCATCTCTTGGCCGCATCTCGCTTAATGCCTGAATCTTTTGCTCGCTTTTGCCCCCTGTCATATAGGGTCACGATGTAGCATCGCATGGCTGGATAGAGCTGTGTAGTTTTTCTAGGTAGGGGTCGACATCGTAGGCACGCAGCAATGACACAGTTTTTCACCGAGTACGTTCATAACTTCAGTAGGGGGCAACACTGTAAGCACTCAGCTACGGCGACTCTATAGTTTTCACGGTGTACATTCAGAACTTCAACATCGTAAGCACTCAGCAACGACACAGTATTTCAACGAGTACATTCAGGAACTTCAGTGGGGTTCAACACCGTAAGCACTCAGCGACTACGTACTTTTTACCAAGTACATTCAGAACTTCAGACTGAGCTGAGTATTAACTAGATAGTTTTTACCGAGTACATTCAGAACTCCAAAGTTCAGACTNGTACTTTTTACCAAGTACATTCAGAACTTCAGACTGAGCTGAGTATTAACTAGATAGTTTTTACCGAGTACATTCAGAACTCCAAAGTTCAGACTGAGCTGATCAGCAACTATATAGTTTTTTTAACGAGTACGTTCAGAAGTCCAAAGTTCAGACTGAAGTGAAGTGAGCAGCAACGACATAGTTTCTCACCGAGTCCATTCAGAACCTCAGACTGAAGTGAAGTCAACTCATCTGGACAAGCTCACTTCGACAGTGGACATTCTATCTTTATACTGTATTTGTCAAGCATGTGTTTGAATTTTTAATGTGATAATAAATAGTATCTGAACTTCTGAAGTCGAAGTCGTGTTTATTGTTATTCTCCTGCATGTGGCAGTTATTGAAAATATGTGTGCCACTTTCTCTTGTGTGTGCAGAATGAGGGTTTGCCAGATAATCGTCGGCTGCTGGAGCACTACTACCACGGATCGTGGCGAATCATGTGGCAACTACGCCCAAGACTGCGAACTGATGGTCAGCTATATCATTTCCTGCTTGTGATAATGGTGACGTATTTGTCAAGTGATGATGATGATGATGATGATGATGATGATGATGATGATGATGATGTGATTGATTATGTTTGATGATGACGATGCTGCTGCTGCTGCTGATGATGATGGTGGTGGTGGTGGTGGTGGTGCTGATGCTGGCTGGCATTGTGGTGGTGTGAGGTGATGAGAATGATAGTGAATGCATGAATGAACGAACGGATGAATGGATTAAGAAATGACTGAATGAATAAGCGGGTTGAGTGGTTGTTCTTCTGTACTTCACCTATTCAATATTTTGTGCAACAATGGCTTCTGTAAACAGATTCTTTTAATGATTATCAGACAGCGCACACATACTCACGTACGCATACCTTGTTACGCTCTAATCTTGTTTGGAACTTCTTTTTTGGGGGGGGTAATATAATAAATTAATAATTATATTAAATAAGACTCATAACCTTTGTTTTGGGGCAGTCTATGGTTTCAAATGCTTTTCATGCCTCAACAATTATCAGCTTCATGGGGGCTTGCAATGGAATGACTGTCAAGGGTCATAAGACTCATAACCTTTTTTTTTGTTTAGGGTTTAGGGTTATAAGTTATATAACTGATTACAGGGTTACCAGCCTGTACGTACGGAGGTCCCCGAGCAGACCTCCGTACGTACGGGCGTTCGGGGTCCCGTACGGGGTCCGAACTCGATGGCGTTTGGCCCCCGGCAAAAAATATTTCGGGGCCTAAAAATATATATTTTTTCCTGAATTGTTTTTTGTGAGTTCTCTATGACGTGAGGTACACGCCTATAAATTTTCAAGTCATTTGGCTCAGCTAAATAAGAATTAAAAATCGCCAAAGATGGCGGTGTCAAAACGTGCTTGCCCACAATTTTTTTCACTTTTCACTTTTTGTTTTCACTTTAGTTTGGGGTCTAAACAATTTTATTATTTTTTGAATTTTTTTTAGTGTGTTTTGCATTATGTGAAGTACACATATGTAAGTTTTCAGGGCATTTAGCTATTCCCAAAAAAAATGAAAAATTGCCAAAGATGGCGGTGTCGAAAACGTGCTCGCGAACTCACTAAATTTAATTCTTTTTTTATTTTTTGTTATTTTTATTATTGGTATTTGTTTTTCGCATTTTATTTTTATTTCAAATTTGACAAGGAATTTGGATGTAATGCTCAGGAAAATCTTGTTTAGTTTATTTTTCTTCATAACATGTCTTTTTTTCAGATTTTTTTGATTTTTTTTTTTTTTTTTTTTTTTTT